TCTTTGTATTTCACGAGAGCTCTCTTTTGGCACTCTTCGCATGTCATACAGTACCTCTCAACGTCCTTATACTGTCCATCCCACCAGTACAGCCGGCGTATCTTCTCGTAGGTTCCTTTAACTCCCCTGTGTCCTCCGACTACCCCGTCGTGAAGTTCCGCAACTATCGTCTGTCTCTCCTCAGGATCACAGACTACTCGCAAGGGCATTCCCGACCCTACTGGCCTTTGGAAAAATTGGCCCGCTCTAAGGCAGTACTGGGCTGCTTGCCTCCGGATATCTGAATCTTGAATCTCTTCTCCCGTTAGATGTAGTCCGATCATTCGGTACTTGCCCTTGTAAAGATTAACTAGAAATCTCTCGGCGCGGCTCGGCTCTGCCATTGTCAGAGCCCCAGCTACTATCGTACGTTCGAGAGGGATGCGTGAAAGTCCATCTGCCACGGCGTTTTTCGTACGAGATACTCTTTCGACCGTGTAATCGTATAGCCGAATCCGTATTAACCATCGGGCAATGGTCGGGTCCGTCAGACTAAAGTCCTTCTGGAGGACAGAGGCAACCGCGGTGGGGTCTACTCTCAAAATGAACCGTCACCCATAGATATAGTGTCTGAACGTGTCTAGACACCGGAGAACAGCTAACACTTCCTTCTTGAATTAACTGTAGTTACGCTCAGCCGTATTAAGTGTCCTACTCTCAAATCTCAACGGTCTTTCCTTCCCTCCAGCGTCCTTCTGAGACAGCAAACCTCCGACTGAACATGGTCCAGCATCCGTGGATACTATGAAAGGTCTCTCGGTCTCTTCGTCAAAGAATGGCACACCCAACACGCGGCCTCCTTCCTTAAATTCGTCTTTAAGTTCTTGCATAGCAAGCTCCTGCGAAGAGTTCCACTGGAAGTTTTCAGTCTTTCGAAGGAGTAACCTCAATGGCTCAGCCTTCTCCGCATACCCCCGTATGAATATACGCCAGTAACCGACCACTCCTAGAAACTGTCGGACTTCGGTTGGGCTATGTAACGGTGAAGGCCAGTTCAGAAGTTTGTCTAACTTCGCCGGATCTGCTCGGCGTCCTCTCGAGTCATAGATAAAACCCAAGATCTTAAAAGTCGAGACGGACCATCGGCTCTTCGTCCCGCTGACTGTTAAATTCGCATCGTCTAGCTGCTCGAGTACCGCGCAAATATCTGCTAGGTGCTGCTCGACGAATCTTCTAACTCCAGGTACAACCTCTGTCTCATCCTTGTCTACTCGTCCTTGAATAGGAAAGTCGTCCAGAAAAACTTCAACCTTATCAGGGATGAAGTTCTTGAGGACGGCTACCATGGCTCTCTGAAAAACGGCTACCCCATTAGTCCAACCCATAGGGACGACCATCATCTGAATTAGTCCCAATGGCGTATGCATAGCCGTGAGGTGCCTGTCCCTAGGGTCAAGCGGTACCTCATCATAGCCTGAGAACAGATCACAGACCGAATAGATCGACCTACCTGCTGCGCCTTCTGCCAGTAAATCGGCGTGTTGCACGGAACCCACGTCTCGTATCGTCACCGCGTTGACCTTTTGAAGGTCTTGGATCCATCGGATCTTGCCATTCGGCTTACGCAGGAAGAACCATCGATTTGCATAAGCACTATCAGACGGCTCCTCAACGTGGGAAACCATCTTTTCTTTCAGGAAAGCGACAACTTCTTCCTTCTCCTTCTGGGCGTATTTCCATCCCGCGTCATTCCAAGGAACATGTGGAATCGTATAAATCCTCGCTGGCTTAGTGTATCGAGGGTCAATCCTACCGCGCTCCGCGTCGCTGAAAGCTATGGCCTTATCACATGTCTTTAGGATTCCTATCACACGTTCTCGCTCCTGTGGGGTCAAATTTCCATCTCCGATGTCCATCCCTGCTATCCTCTCTTCCGTTAGGCGTTGCGGCTC